CAACAGGCCTCCACAGTCCCCTTCCAGCACTTAGACTTCCTTGGGTTCTTCTTTCCCGTCATCCTATAGTTCTAAACTTTCTATGTGTGAATCAGAGAGGGGGCTGCAAAGAATGAACGTGCTGGGGAGGTTGGAGTTTGGTGATGCCGAACTGGCTGCAGTATGCATTCACATTTTCTAATTCCACTCAATTGACAAAATATTTATCGAGCACCTGCCTTGTGCCAGACATTACACTAGGTGCTGAAGATATGCATAGCCTGCATGTGTGAAATTCTGTTCCGACTTTGACAAGTGATACCAAACACAAAAGAGGATTCACGGCTTATATAGTGCAAGACTATAAGATTGCGTATGGAACACTGTAGCTCTTCTGGTTAAAAATTGTGTATCTGGCCACTTCACAAAGCTACCCAACACTCACTGCAGATTAATGAGCCGGTACGTGCTAAGTAATTTGCGATTGCTGGGCTGGGAGAGCTCCTCTGGGAGCGCCCGTCCTCTGCTGCTTAGCAAGCAGGAGAGGAAGAACATCCTCCACCTTCACCCACCCCCACCCGCCCCCAGACATTCCTTTGTCTCTCACTTCGTGAGGGAGGGAGGAAGCCTCCAGCTCACATCCATTTTTAATTCCTTTTGGAAGGTGGTGAAGCAGAGAGAGGGACTTAATGGACTCCTAGGTACATTTGGGCATACATTAGTACTTATTTGTAATTAAACTTCTAGGTTGGCCTCTAAGCCATAATGCGGATGATTGCCATTTCAACTGAATGCATGCAAATATACCTGAGAGCCTGACAAAGAGCGTATCAAATACATTCATCAATAAATAACATCAATACCACGGGTTTGTGGGCTGAAAAAATTTTAACTTCAAAGACGAGCTTTCATATCTCTGATCTCATTTCACACGACATATTATTTTAAAACTCCTCTCTGGGGGCGCGTTGTTGCACATATGCAAGGCCGTGGGGGTGAAGATAATGAAGACCCGCCTCGGGCTACCCAACATCTCTCGTACAGAGAGTCCAGCCAGTTGACGCCTCCTGGGGGTTCTTCCTGCTTGTTTAAAAACTAAAGGCAAAGATGAAAAATACACTAATTTCAAGCTATGCTGGGAGCACAGTACTCAGGGCATGAACCTGGAAATCAAGGAAATGAGGCTGTTTCCAGGACTGTCTTTGGAGAGTCTATAAACACGAGGACTAGATTAATTCAGACTGATGTCAGGCACTCAGGAAGACCCGACTTGGAAACCCGTGGTCTCTTGGGAGTGAAAAGCCAGTTCCTGTTTACTTTATCTACAGCTGTGACATTTTTCCCATGTTGACAATTTCTTCGTGTGTGTGCTTTCATTGTCAGAAAGCTATTTTTACATATTCTCACCTAATCTTTTAGCTTTTTCTGTTTAACTTCAGCCTGAGTAAAACCCTCCTGTCATTATTTACCCTAAGGCTGGGCTGTGAACCAGGATATGAACTTACTCTGAATTTATTAAAAGGGCATTTAAAGCAGTATCTCAAGTAGAAGGCAAGAAAAAATATAGTCCTTGATAGTGAGCTTCTCCCTGCCTCTCTGTTTAGACGGTCCTAAAACCACTGCTTCTGCCTCACTGAAATTCAGGCTGTCACCTTCTGTGGAGCTGACAGTACAGACAGCCTCAGAACTTCCTACCTGGATATCTGCATACCAGATGTGATATGACTGGCCACTGTAGGAGTAGGAAATTCTTCTACCCTGATTACTCATGAAGACCAAATAATCAGTGCCTACCTAACTTGTGATGAACTCTTTTAATTCTGCTGTTTTTAAGGACAAGTAGAAGAACCTGTAAGCCAGTTTATTGCCACTAGTTGTCCCCACCACCTTTCCATCATAGGCCTGTCCTTCGGGGTGCTTTGAGAAGTAGACCTTCTTGGCATGTCCTGGTGCACATGGATGAACCTTGAAAACATGCCAAATAAAGGAAGCCAGACACAAAGTCATTGTGCGCTTTCCTTTATATGAAATGTCCAGAACAGGTCTATCTATATATCCAGAAAATAAATTAGTGGTTACTTAGGGTAGGAGTGAGGGAAGGACGGTAAGTGCTAATGGGTATGGGGTTTCTTTTGGGAGTGATGAAGATGTTCTAAAATTCAATAGTTGTAATAGGTATACAACTGTGTGACTGTACTAAAAGCTACTGAATTTTACCCTTTAAAGGAGTGAATTTTAAGGGGCCATTAGGGTGCATAGTGGTTAAGGTGTTGGACTCTCACATGGCCAACCACAGTTTGAATCCCAGATCTGGTGGCTTGGAACTCATGCTGGGCACATGTGTGTGCATGCCCAAAATTCCCAGGGGAGAATGGAGGACAAGGGACACAGAATGGCCATTTCTCCGGGGGTGATTTCCAGCTTTCTGTCTCTCTGTTTCTCTGGTGAGCACACATACTCTGTAGCAAAAAATCTCTAGAAAAAAAAAAAAAAGACTAAATTTTATGGTATATAAGTTATGTCTCAGTAAAACTATATTAAAAACAAAATGCAAGGAGAGGGGCCAGCAGGTGGTATGATGGCTAAGGTGCTGGACTCCTACATGATTGATCATGGTTCAAGACCCAGACCAGGTAGCTTGCTTTCTCACTTGCCCTTTCTCTCTCTGTTGTTTTGGTGAGCACATGTGCCCTGTAGCAAACTTAAAAATAATAATAATAATAATAAATAAAATAAATATTTTTTTAAAATGCAAGGGGGATGTACACTTCTTCAAGATAAACTATTCTCCAAATAATAGAAAATCAGTTAGTTCTTCCCCCCTCAAACGCTAAATGTATTACCAGCAGCTTACCTCTCTCAGCCAGGGTGTGGTCCTGTGAAAACCCACCTGAAGCTGCTCAGGAGTCAGGTTAGGTCCCATTGTCCTTCTTGGTCTGATTCCTTTTCCATCTTGATGTGAATCAGGAAATGGGGGCTTTTTCTGAGCTATTAAAAGAGGCAGTAAGTGAAATCCCCCTTTGGCCGGTTCTGTGAAATGGCATCTTCCCCAGAGAGAACTGCGCTTTCCTGGAGTGTGGTAGCTTTCTTCGGATGGTCCTTCCAGCCCCGAGTGGATGGGCGTCTATATACTTCCCTGGAGCTGGCGATGCCCTACCATGTCGTCTGTCCAGCTGGTAAAACCCAAACAGCGCAGGCACCACCCCAACCCCCCTCGTTTTACCGCTGGATGTATTGAACCTGGCCTCCACGATGGGCCTTGATGGTGGCATCCAATTCCTTCCAAACACCCTCTGTCCCCACACTCGTGTGCTGTGGCTTCCGTGGGGCAATTCAGTAAACAGAGCATCCCTGCCTCTAGAGGACAAGTGCACCTGTTCCAGCTGCCACAGGCTTAGGAGTGTGAACTGCTTGGTGCAACGGTAGGGTTCTTGCCTCAGCCTGGAGGCGAAGAGATGGAATGCCCTGAGGGGAAGTGGGCTGTGGATTGAGACAGCCTAGACAGAGAAGATCTGGGGTGGGGCGGACCACGCACCTCTGGCAGCGATCGTGGCCACGAGCCATTCTGTGCTCATTCTTTTATAGCGGAGGTAAAGTCGCCCCCTTCCCATTGTTGACGGCCGCTGTGGAGCATCTGCACACGTCTCCCCCGGCCTTCTCTGGCTAACACTCAGCTCTCTTGTCTCTGTAAAGCCCAGAGGTAGATGCTGACTGTTAGAGCGTTCGCTTGCCTTGCAGCATCAGGGCAAAGACGGTAAGGCGCCCCCTACAGGCGCTGTTGCGTACTGCTGAATGAACCAAATACGGTCCGAGCGGCAGCGTAGCAGTGCTAGAATACTCTGTGACACTGTGGACCCCTGCGGAAGGGTCCTGGGCTGGCATCCGGGGCCTCCCAAGCACACCAGCTAGTGTGCCCTTGTCTGTGATCTGAGCTGGCTGGCGACTGGGGGGACATGCGATGCGGACCAAGTGTGAAGACCCTCTGGAGGTGCCTCTCTCTCTTTCTGTTTTTCTCTGTCATGGAAGAAGTAATAAACAAAACCAAAACCAAAACCAAAAAGAACCCTACACCTCAACAACAAAAAGGCAAGCCAATTTAAAAAAAAATGACATACAAAAAAAGTTTTTTTAAATGTAGATACATGAAATTGAGTAATTCTTAACTTTGTGGACAGATAAACTATTATTCAACCAAAGGGAGCCAAAGAAATTCTTGCTATAGTAATGATGACAGGGTGTGTGTGTGTGTGTGAAGAAGGGAATTGAGACTGATAAGGGACAGAATAAGAAAAATAAAAGCGAGACATGAAGTGGGGTAGGGACCAGCAGACATGGTGCAATGCTTACTGTCTGGACTAGCACGGCCCACTGCAGTTCAGTCCCCCCACTCAAGGCTTGGAGCTCACGTCCTCGTGTGCGACTGTGCCCAAAATCCCAAGAGGAGAATGGAGAAGGGCTGGCCGGGTGAACATCTCCGCTGAGGGTGTGATTTCCCACTTTCTGTCTCTTTGTCTCTTCCCAGAGCCCAAGGGCCCTATAGCAAAAATCTCTCTTAAAAAATAAGAAAAAAAGTGGGGTCAAAGCAGAGGAAAGCTTGCCTTCTTCCTGTAGACCTCCTGTAGCTGCAGCTCTCCAAGTTTGGTTTTATTGCTACGGTGGTAAAATAGATAAATTATATTATAGTTTACCCGGAGGGCTTCACGCCTCTGCACACGCTCGTGCACGCACAGGCATAATGACATCATTTAAAAATAAAATAGCAAATAAAATGATGCCTCACCCATTCTGTCTGTGTGTATGGCGAGGCCTTGAGCAGCTTGACCTCGGTGGACTGTCCCACATGGGTGGGGCCTGGTCTCCCGCAGCTGTAGGGGGCGCGCCCTTGGCTGCTCCAGGCCGCTGGCTCGCGGGTCGCCGCACCTCCTCCAGGCGGGCCACCTGATGCGGAGGAGGAGGGCGGGCGCCGCGCTGCTCTGCAGGGGCGGGGAGGACTCGGCGGTGACTCCGACTGGGGACACTGCACGAGATGGACGCTCAGGACTGCGAGGCGCCCGCGGCGCCCGAGGCCCCCATTCGCGGCTACGTGGCCGCCTGGTGGGACATGGTGGAGCGGAACCTGCGGTGAGTCCACCCTCCGCAAGGCCCCGACACCTCCGACTGCCTGGGGATGCGATGGGATGGGGCAGGCACCCGGCGAGGGCATGGCCAGGGCCATCACCTGGACGCAATGAGGCTGTAATCCCACATGGCGGCTCCCGGGGCGGGGGACTTCTGCGGACCCCAGAGCCCTTTGAACCCCTGGGCTCTTTGGAATGCTATGTCCCCAGCCTCAGCCTGGGCTCTGACCAGGGAGACTTGCAGGTTTGACTTTTCAGGCACTTACAACTTTGGGGGGTGGGGTTCTGAAAGAGATTCCAGAAAGTCTCTTCTTGAAGCTGGTTTCTGTTTTTGTTTGTTTGTTTGTTTGTTTGCTTTTTAGTTAGGAAAATGGAAGTGTGCTTAGGACAGAAATGAGGGAGACCAAAGGGCTATTTTCCTTCCTTCTCATTTCTCAAGTTGACACATTCCCTCACAGATCTCTTCCTGGACAGGCTCAGTACCTGCAGGAAGGGGTTACACATTTCTGTTAATAGTGGCGGTGGTGACATATGTTGTAATCCCTGATGGAATCCTCTGTGGCTGAAGGCCTATCTACGTAGGTGGAGAAGGACCGGGAAGTCACTGGGTAGCCCAGGAAGTGCGAACTCTGGCATGTCAGGGAACACACCTGCACAGTACTAAAGGTATCAGCATTTCCGATGAAATGCTGATACTGAAACCTTAACTTGGAGTCACCTGTGCCAAGGTCTCCCATTGTTTACATCGGAAGGGTCTGCATGTTAGCATTTCCTGTCTTCCTCCCACGAACCCTTGATTCACAGTCGTCTTAAATTGCCTGAATCGGCCAGCAAGAGTTGACCTGTGGACTCAGGGGATTGGGTATTCCTTTTGCTGTGTTGGTTCAGGAAGGTTTTGGCATTTTTGTTTACCTTTCTTCTATTCCTTTTGTTTAATTTGTGCTGATTTCAGAATATCCAAGAATTACATCCAGACACGGAGACTTCGCTTTGAAATGCCCAGAGTGATGAGGACGAGCAGGGATCTTTTCTAAGCCTTCTTTAGCTCAGTGCAGGAAGCGGAGAGCAGATCCGCACAGGCCCCGCTGTGTAGACCCCAGCCCCCCTCCAGCCCCCGCCGTGTGGACGCGAGCGCGAGGCGGAGTGTCCTGGCTGACTGCACTTCTCGAACTGCACATTCACGAGACTTCTCTCCCAGATGTAGTAGTTCTGGAAGAGCTGACATCTGCCAACCATCTCTCATGTTCTCTATAGAGTTCATGGTTGATTATTTAACCATTACTTGGCAGTAAAGAGTATTCGTTAAGCAGAGTATCAAAGCTGCAGTTCACAGTCTCAGGAAAAACCTGCTTTGTTGGCTACTGAGTAGGAGAAGGGGACTTGGGGGCCATCTAGTACTTGCTTGACTATACAATAAAAAAACAGTAAGTCTCAAGGGATGGATGTTTCCTGACAGAATAAAATAGCAGTGCATCTCTTCATCTGAGCAGAAGGTCATGGATCTAATGTAAGAGCAGCTGAGGCCGAGGCACAGACCCTTGTCCGGCATCTGGAATCCTTTTTGTTTCTTGGAGCCGGGTTAGTTTAGATTGGCAAACATTCCAGGAGCGCTTGCTGTGCCCCTGGTGCTGCTCATAGCACTGGATCTATTGTGACGTGTTGTGAGACACAAGGAGGCCGTTTAATCATTGCTATTTTCAGGGATTATCTTTATTGGTATTATTGCCAGAGAGTGCATGCTCTTGCTAGAGAGAGAGAAAGAAGCAAAGAGAGAGAGAGAAAGAAAAAGCACCTCCCATGGAGAATGGTCATGCTGCAATCTTTTTCCCTCTATTTCTCCATGGGATTTTAAGCCATTCACACATACCAAAGCTGCCAGGGCTGGCATTTGAACCAGTCAACCATGTGGGATCTCGTTCCTGATGTACTGTGCTTAACCACTGTGCTACAAGTTCGGCCCCTAGTGATGATTTTTTAATGCCTGGAGGATCTACTTACTTATTTTACAAAACTGTAATCAGTTTTAGTTGCTGCCTTAGGTGGGTGGGCCCAGGAGAGTAAGTCTCTTCTCGTAGCTGTTTTTTGTTTTGTTTTTATTTTGTTTTGTTTTGTTTGTTTGTTTGTTTAGTTAGAAAAATGGAAATGTGCTCCGGACAGAAATGAGGGAAACCAAAGGGCTATTTTCCTTCTCTTTTCTCAAGTCATCACATACCTAGATAGTATTTAGAACCAACCTCCTTCCCTCCCTCCGAGTAGGCTGATAAACATGTTCCTTCTTTCCGTTCTAGGCATTAATCTAGGTCCTGGCATACAGCAATAAATGCAGCAAACAAAGGTCCCTCTGAGATTGGAACCCCACATTGGTTCTTTTCCCACCGTAATTGCAAGAGAAAAGAGAACGACGTGCTCCTGCTTCAATGCCACCAGCAGCGTGGCTTCCTCCCTTACAGAAGAAATACACTCTTCTGTCCGTTTTCAATCTATGGGTCAACAAGTCTTTACTGAGCTTGGTGATGGGCTAGACATGGTGGAATGTGAAAGAAGCACCACGCGCCAGGTGGTTCTTGTCGTCTGGGGCTGGGCATACAGGGGAGAGGACAGGGCTGATGGGGAAAATGCTCAGTGAGCATGAAAAGGTCACCGCAGGCCCAGGTAAAATTGGTGGGACGGATGAAAGGTCACCATGGGAGATCTCTCCAGAGAGGCTTTGGCCAGGAGGGGACACTTGAGTGGGCAGAGGCAAGGGGAGGACCTGGTTGGGAGGGCTTAGCCTGGTGCTGGATGAACAGCACATGCTGGCTGAATGAATGGGCACAGAGGATGGGTGTGCAATATGTCTTAATATTCGGAGTAGTTGTCTTGCCAGATGTGGTTAGATTTGGCCTTCCAAAGGTGGTTTGCATGAATGATTCACCCTGTGGCTGCTCGGACCCCTCTCCATCCCCCCAGGTTTCACCAATAAGAATCATCCAGTTTGGCTCTGTGGCTTCTTGGGGAGGCTGTGCAGTTACAGCTGCCACTGATCAAAGGGACAGTGAAAGAACACCAAAGCCCCAAGGTGGCTGTTTGATGTGGCTGGCCGTTAGCGGGGATTGAGCCGAAACTGCATCCTCTGCTCAAATAAGGTCCATTAGCCACTGGTGACTTTTGATCCCCCTACTCATCTAGGGGAAGTCAAATTGACAACCTCCTAGTTAAAAGAAGCTGCTTTGCATTATTGATGCTCCGAGGGATCTGGTCACTCTGTTCTCTTTCCACCTCGCTCCTCACAGAAGTGCCTCGAGCTATTTGAGAGAAGGGTCCTGTATGAATTATTCCTTAAAAACAGAAACATATTTCCCCCTCCTGCATCTTCTTCCCAAGCAGACCTTCAAAAGATAACTTAGTGGGAGACTACCCTACCTTCCTTCAAAAGGTCTTGGCAGTGGGAGACTAACCGGCAGGGTGGCTGTGGTGCAGGGAGCCGGTGGAGGGAAGTGGGAATGGCCAGCATGAAGGAAGCATGACATTAAACTTGGTTCGGTTCTGCCCGTTTGGGCTTGATCTCCACATGGCTTGGCCCCAAGTAGCTTCTCTGTGTTTTGCCTTTTATCTCTAAAATCAGAACAACACCCTCTCCTTCCTGCCGCCTTCCTGGGGCTATTCTATAAAGAGTCATGCACTGCGTCATGCCATTTTGGTGCGTCACAGAGGGCATGGATGAGTGTGATCCGGGAGGGAGCAGACAAGCTGTATTACATAGCCTAGGGTTGTGTAAGTACAGTGACAAGATCGCCCGTGACGCCCTTCTCAAATGCGTCTTTGTTGTTAAAAAAGTTTAAAAGGTTCATGGAAAATGGAATTGAAGTATGAGTTTATTGTTGTGTAAAATTTTCAAAATCTACACACAGTTTTTTCATAGTACATGTTTTCTATGAATTTTTTGAGGATCTTACATAATATTAAACAATCACTTTTCTTTCTTTTTTTTCCCTTTTTTTTGGGAGAGTTTTTTGCTATAGGGCGTGTGCGCTCGCCAGAAAGACAGAGAGACAGAAAGCGAGAAATCACCCCCCAGGGGGGATGACCATGCCACAATCCCTTCTTCTCCATTCTCCTCTCGGGATCTTGGGCATGCACACATATGTGCCTGGCATGAGTTTAAGCTATTGGGTCCGGGACTTGAACTGCAGTCAGCTACATGGGAGTTCAACAACATAGCCATTATGCTAACTGCTGGTCCTGCACTTTTATTTCTTAAAAGAATTATTTTTAAAGGCCAGATGGCATGTGTGCTCACCAGAGAGAGACAGAGCCAGAGAAAGAGAGAGCGAGAGAGAGAAAGAAAGCAGGGGAAAGCTACTATTCCTTCCTTCTCCTCATTTCTCCAACCTGTCCAGATTTGGGGTGCCCCCACACATGTGCCCCTGCCTGTTTTTCAAGCCACTGGATAGGGGACTTGAACTGTCATCAGCCATGTGGGATCCTGCTCTGTTAACTACTAAACTCCAGGGCCAGCTCATCATTTTCATCTTTCTTGCTGATTTTATGAGCATGTAGTTGCCGATGTAGGATGTAGTTGAAGAGCTCTGTTATCCCTAGGCCATGTATCTTCTTCACTTCTTGCAACTGCTAGAGATCCACTAGTGATTCATTCTTTTCCCTTCATCCTCTTCCAGACATACATAAGTGTTTTGAGTTTTAAGTCATTAACACTTGAGGGAGAATGAACTTTTTTAGGAGTTTTTCATTGGTGGCTTTTTTTTTTTTTTGACAGTTTTTTGCTATAGGGCACGTGCACCCGCCAGAAAGACAGAGAGAGACAGAGAGACAGAAAGCAAGAAATCACACCCCAGGGGGAGTGGTCACGCCGCGATCCCTTCTCCTCCATTCTCCTCTCGGGATCTTGGGCACGCACGCACACGTGCCCAGCATGAGTTTAAGCCACCGGATCTGGGACTCGAACCGTGGTCGACTACATGGGAGTCCAGCGACATAGTCCTTACGCCAACTGCTGGTCCCTTTGGTGACTTTGTTAACATAGGGCAGCTGAAAATACAGGAACTGGAAGGAAACAGAAGGATTGAAAGGAATGAACCCTAGGAGGGAGCTAGAGTGCAGAAGGGGAGAAGGTGATCCTAAAACAAGACTCTCTAGGGGCTGAATTTTGCCAGAGGCCAGCCTCAGGTTCAGTTTTGCTAACATAGATGGCAAGTAGGATTCACCATGAATGTGTCAGCTCATTAGAGATCATTGGCGGACTCTGGGGTCAGACAGACCTGGGTACACTTGGCTCTTTTCATTGGCTTGTGACCTTGAAGAGGAAGGTTACTTAACTTTTCGGAATCCTCATTTGTAAAGCACAAGATAATATTATCTTCTAAAGCATCTCTGCTTGAGCAGAACAATCTGGAATGAGAAAAGGGTTTATAAAACATTTTCTAGCCCTGCAACCTCACAATTTGAGTGCCCCGAGCCGCCTTAACATTGGCCACTCACTGATGTGGATAGCACTGGAGGAGAGGATGACGGGTGACTCTGGGCTTTTGTATCCCTCACCTTTTAGAGGTAGGAGGCACCCTTGACCCTCATGAGAGAGGTGACTCTGGATGGAAGTGGCATTAGTAAGTGTTCATGGACAGATCACCTGGCCGCTGACGGCTTCCGCTTTTGGAGGGCTGTGTCACAGGAAGCGGTAGAATAAGCAGGGTGCGCCTGGTCTCCATCACACTCCCTGGCAACTCCAGCCCCTGTGTCACCCCTCTAGCCCTCTCTGTCCTCCCTGCCCCCAAGGGTTCCTCTCCCCCAGGATGTCACATCAGAAATGGTAGGAGAGGGATGCCTTTGGCTGCTTGGCTCACTTCTCCCTAAGGCCCAGGCAGAAGAGAGGGACTCGAGTGGTTGTTCATTCACTGCTTCAGACTAATAGTAATAGCTATAGGAACGAATCGTAATACAATAAAAAACAGTGGCAAATGATAAACTGTCTGGCTCCTGTTTGCTGATGACTCAGGGGCCCAGCCTCGGCCTTCTCTGGGGCTAAGGGAGCAAGTCTGACTCTGGTGCATCTATTGTCCCTTCTCCTCCTGTCCCTGTCATGCCCTGGCTTTTCGAGTGACTGCTTAGAGCCTTGCCTAATTGCGCTCACCTCGTTTCCCTTAGCACGCAGTCCTGACCTACCCTCCGATTCTTAGGTAGAACTGTGTAAAGAATTTCGCTTCAATGTCAAGCTACCTGAAATTGATGGAGTTAGCCTCCGAAATTTGATTTGGATCTAAGGAGAAAAAGCAAACCAACACAAAACTTGGACTGATTTTGAAAATCTTGTGTTTCTCAATAACTTGCAGATCCATACCACACGCCTGTGCAAAGCTGGGAAGAAAAATCGCTGCTCTGTACAACCGCTTTACTAGCAGGTCCCTAAAAGAACACATTTTCCTTCCGTTGGTGGACATGCTAATTTATCTTAATGTTTGTAAGTATATACCCTTTATGAATTCACCTACCTCATTTCCCCCAAATAATGAACTCACAGCCCTTCAAGCTGTGACGTAATGAAAAAGTCACGTGCATTTTTAAATTGCAGCTAGACCTGAGATGTCTAAAGCCTATTTAATATTGACTTTGGGGTTTAGCGTGAAACCTGCCAACTGTCGGGAATGAATAGAACCACTCCATCTTCTGGGGGGGGGTGGCTAGTTCAGGAACGCAGTCTTCAAATTCGCTGTCAGCGTGGATACCTGACTGCTATGGTATTCTCTGCCTTTTCCTTTTCTCTTCTTACTTCCATCCCTTGAAGGAGAGAAAGAGAGACAGAGAGAGAGTTGATGATGATGAAGATGATGGTGGGAAGATATTTTCCTGCATCTTTCTACCATATGCTGCCTTAGTCCGCGCTACGCGGTCCTTCTAGCTCTTACCTGCACGCTCCCAGGTGCATGTCGCTCTTGGACATATCTTGGCTTATGGCTGATGATTCAGTGTCACCTGCTACTTCAGTAGCAGATTATTCCTTTTCTTCTAGATTCTTTTACCTTTTGAGAGGAATAAACTCCTCTGCTGTTAGTTTTAGTTATTCAGATAAGAACAAGGATGGAATAAACTTTTTTTTTTGAGAGAGATTTTTGCTACTGGGCACATGTGCTTGCTGGAGAGACAGAGAGACAGAAAGTGAGAAATCACCCCCACCCTCAGGGGGGATGGCCATGCTGCAATGGCTTCTCCAATCTCCTCTTGGGATTTTGGGCATGCATGCATACACACCCAGCATGAGCTTTAAGCCACTGAGTCTGGGACTTGAACCACAGTTGACTACGTGGGAGTCCAGCGACATAACCATTACACCACCTGCTGGTCCCTGAATAAACTCTATTATGGGTTACCACATTGGTGCTTTTCTTTCCTCCTTCCTTCCTTCCTTTCTTTCTTTCTTTCTTTCTTTCTTTCTTTCTTTCTTTCTTTCTTTCTTTCTTTCTTTCTTTCTTCTTAATCTAGCTTTAGGTTTTGCATTTTTGTACCTCTCTCCATGGCCTAGGCCTACCTGCTAACATGAAACACTTTGCTGGGAGTGTAGAGTATAACTTACAACTTAGAAATCTGTTAACTCACAAAGCCTAATTCCTTTTCTTGATTGTGATGAAAAGATACGGGATTTGATTCTGAAAGCTGATAAAGATGTCTGTTTTTCAGTCAAATTTCCATTGCTTGTGGATTTTAAGAAACCAGAGACAAAGATTCCTCACACAGTGAACTTCTACATCAGATCTGAGCCTAAGGTGCTGCTGGGAATCTGGTGAGTGCACTGACTGGACACCGGGTTGCTGGATGGGCCGGTTTTCCTGTCAGGGGAGCAGCGACATTTGACTGGCTTGACTTCACTTTTCAGGGATGTCATGGTGGAGTGTGAAGTCCTTTGATGTTGCCCTTCGCATCTGGCCCCACTCACCTCTGCTGTCCTCTTCCACACCACCCTTGCTGTCAGGCCCTGTACGCCATACACACTGGCCCCTTAGCACACCACGCCATGCTCTCCCAGGACATTCTGTGTCCCCAACACTGTTTCATTTTTCTGCTCCCACCGTCGCCTTCTTTTTTTAATTTTTAAATTTTTTTGAGACGTTTTTGCTATAGGGCGCGTGAGCTTGCCAGACAGAGAGAGACATAGAGACAGAAAACGAGAAATCACCCCCCAGGGGGGATGGTCACGCCTCAATCCCTTCTCCTCCATTCTCCTCTCAGGATCTTGGGCATGCACGCACACACGCCCAGCGTGAGTTTAAGCCACCGGGTCCGAGACTCAAACCACGGTCGATTACATGGGAGTCCAGCGACATAGCCATTACGCTAACTGCTGGTCCCCGTCATCTCCTTTTGCCTGACTAACTGCCTATTCATATTTTGAGTTTCAATTTAATTGGCTATTTTCATGGAAGCCTTTCTTTATGCCCATTTTAGGTATGTGGTCTTTTGGCAGCCTGTGCTTGTCTCTTACAGGATTTATGAGGGGATTTCAAAAAGTTTATGGAAAAATTAAAGTACGAGTTTGTTTTGGTGCAGAATTACTTTAAAAATAGTTTTTCAAAATATGCATTTTCAGGTTGGCCCTATGGCCTAGTGTTGGGGGAGCTAGATCTCACCTGGCTAACCATGTGGTGTGAATCCAGCCCCAGTGGCATGAAAAACACACCAGATACATGTACATGTATGTCCCAAATCTTGGCAGGATGGAGAAATGGAGGAGAAGGGGTTTCAGTGTGACTGTGCCAATGGGGAGCTGCTTTCTATCTCTCTCTCTGTGTCTCTCTATCTCTCTGGCAAATGCACAAACCTCTGACAGGTTAAAAAAAAAAAGAAGAAAATATGTATTTTCCACAAACATTTTGAAGACCACCCCCCTAATAATATTTGCGTGATTATTTGGTTAAATTGTCTTTCTTCCAGGACTATCATTTCCTCGGGTGACAGGTCGTTGGCAGGCTTTCATTGCTCAGCACCACGCTTTGCACATCAAGAGCACTCAATAAATGTCTGTCGAGTGGAGTCGTGGGCACTGTATTATCTTTTTCCCATTACGCTGATGTCAATATCTCCTTCTGTCTGGTTCTATTAATTATTTCTGGCTGTCAAATTCCCACTGCCCTGTTTCACTTTTCACCTGCTTGAGTTTAAACCTCTGACTATAGAATGTTTAGTAAATGACATGGGTGCACCTAACTTCTTTCTAATTTGTAGGGTACAGTTCAGCTAATAGTGTTGGAAATTAGAACTCATTTTTTTTCTTTCATTAAAAAAATAGTTTATTGGGAACCAGCAGTTAGCATAATGGCTATGTCGCTGGACTCCCACGTGGTCGACGGCGGTTTGCGTCCCGGACCCTGGTGGCTTAAAAACTCATGCTGGGCGCGTGCGCGTGCGTGCCCAAGATCCCGAGAGGAGAATGCAGGAGAAGGGATTGCGGTGTGACCATCCCCTCTGGGAGGTGATTTCTCGCTTTCCATCTCTATGTCTCTCTCTGTCTGTCTGGCGAGCGCACGCGCCCTATAGCGAAAAACCTCTCAAAAAAAAAATGGTTTATTTATTTCTTCCTTGAAAGTGAGAGACAGAGACAGACATCCCCCACCAGGTTCTTAACACCACAATCCACAACCAGCTTCAGCCAGCCTGGACCATGGGCACACTGCGAGTGCTTGCCCAGTGCACAGGGAGTCATGGGATGCAGGTCCTGGGATGAGAACCTGGGACCTTCCCGTGTGGATCCATGGCAGAGTGTTGCGTTACTGCTGCACCATCTGGCCCCTAGAAATCTGGTTATTCTTTCCTTTGGCCAGCTTAGTCCTGGCTGCTTGAGTATGCTCTCATTGTGACCCGCTTATCTGGGGACAGCGGTGCCGAGATTCTCAGTGCGCAGGCCTGGGGACGATGGCAGACTTCCTGTCTCTCAGTGATGGCAAGGACTGAATGAAGACCCACCAACTCTTGGCCAGTTCTCCAAGCCCCTTTATGACAAGGCATAGTGCAGTGTTGGTTGCATTTTCAGAGTTCATTCATTGGTGTAGCAAAATGAAACTCACACAGGGGAGCTCACAGAGGTGTTAAAATCACAAGGTCACTTGTTTTCTTGAGCAGAATAGCTTAGTTTCATGTTAAAGTTCTTTTCTCCTACATAAAATGGTTATCTTTACATTCTTTTATTTAGTTAGTTAGTTTAGTTTAGTTTTTGCTGTAGGATACATATGCTCACCAAAGAGAGACAAAGAAAGGAATTGTGAGAAATCCCTTCCCAGTGTGGGATGGCCACACTGCAATCTCTTCTCCATCCTCCTCTATCCTCCTCTTGGGAATGTGAGCACACGTGCAACACACACTCAGCATAATTTTCAAGCCTTAGAGTCTGGGATTTGAACTGCGCCATCAGCCATGTAGGATCCAGCACCTTAACCATCGCACCACCACTGGCCCTCTTTAAATTCTTTCCAAAATTCATGTCTTCGTACAAACCAAAGGCAGATGGCAAATATCTATTATCTTTTACTTGTTTCCACTTCTTTTTTCTTTTGGGGGGGGGGTCATTTCAATGCAGTACACCTAAGAATTGCAGTCTTGGGAGATTAAAAGGTGCAAGAGTCAGAAGAACGGTATTAGAACAGCCGATGGTTAGAGGGATGTCTGTTCATAGGGAGATGGGCATAGCAGTAGCGGTTCTCATCACGACAAAGTTCATGGTGGCAGACTTCAATTTTTTTTTTTTTTCAATTTAAAACACATTTGATTTCTTCTATGAGTGAGAGAGTAAGAAGGACATAGAGGGGGCACCCTCAACAGGGCCTGGACCCAGTGACCCACCTCCAGCACTCAGCCAGCCCTGGATCATGGGCACATGTGCCTGGCATCTCAAGGAGCCCTCTGGAAAGGAATTTGGAACTTTCCCATGTGGGTCAGCATTGGAGAGTGTCACATTTTATTTCTGGGTTGCTGTCTGGCTTCCTAGATTTTTATGTTTAGCACGTATGTCTTAGGTTGTTTGAAAAGTCCTGACATGGTTTTCTATGCAAAAATGCATTGCATTCTGACTTTCCTGACGACCCCATATATTGCTCCTATGTATATGTTATCTATGTATATTATATAGATAATACAACGTGAGAGGGCTTCAGGCCTGAGCGAGCGCAGGGAGCCTCCCTCGGGCACGTTTGTGACGCCCTTCTCCACTCTCCTCAGGCACACGGTGCCCAGCTGCCGGGGGGAAGAGGCCAGTGGGAAGGACCGTTGCTGGTATGAAGCAGCCCTTCACGACGGGAACCCAATTATTATTTACCTGCACGGCAGCGCACAACACAGGTCAGTGGCTCTGCTTGCAAAGTAGTTTCTCGCTTATTTACTTTTTTGTTTTTGAAGAACGAGAGCATTTCAGCTCCATGGGGTGAGTGAAGTACAGGACTGAGTTTTCAGCTCTGTAACTGGACTCATGGAGTTTGTTTCCTTTGTTGAAATAGGAGGCCGTTTGACAATAGGCTTCCTCTGGTTGAGTATCAGATTCTCGGATGTCTCTAGAGCTTCTTGATGTAAGCATTTGATGAGCCATTAATAATCCGTCTGTTATTTCCATGCATTAAAAGTTATTCTTTTCTGTTTTCTTTCTTTTCAAAATTTACTATAGGGTGCATGTGTTTGCCAGAGAGACAGGGAGAGAGAGAAATAGAAGGAAAGTAAGAAAGCACCCTCCGCCCCACTGCCCTGGTCCTCCCCCCGCCCCCGCCCCAAGATGGCCATGGTGCAATCACTTCTCTATTCTCCTCTTGGGATTTGGGGCATGCATATGCAGTACCTTGTTTTTCAAGACGCTGGGTCCAGGACTCAAAACATGCAATCAGCACTGTGGGGTCCAGCTGCCTCAACCACCACGTTACTAGCTGACCCCAGCAAAACTTATTTCTAAGAATACTTTTAGAAGCTAAAGGAAAATAAGTCCCCCCCACTCCAAAAAAAAATAGCTTTTCAGAGTAAGAATAATGCAGATTCTTTTTTTTTTTTCTTTCTTTTTTTGGAGAGGTTTTTGCTATAGGGCGCGTGCGCTTGCCAGAAAGACAAAGAGAGACAGAGAGACAGAAAGCGAGAAATCACCCTCCAGGGGGGATGGCCACGCTGCAATCCCTTCTCCTTCAGTCTCCTCTCGGGATCTTGGGCACGCATGCACACGTGCCTGGCGTGAGTTTTAACCCACCGGGTCCGGGATGCGAATCGCGGTTGACTATGTGGGAGTCCAGCGATATAGCCATTACTAACTGCTGGTCCCATGCAGATTCTTAATTGAGGGGAAAAAAAAGTCTTCCAAAATTTAGAATTGATTTCGAAGAAGGCTTTACCACCGGGAGTGCCTGAAGTAATGAGTGAACCCATGGGAGATTGGAAGATAGTGGATGTGCATTATAGGAAAGAGAGCTGTTATAGAAATCATTTTAATTTCAGATAATTACAGTGGAGAATCCTTTATTTAGCATTGATTTTGTTAGTCAAAAATATGACTCCTTAACAGAGCTTACCTGGTATTGCAGTCACAGGTACTGCGGGCCGTCTGACTACTTCCAGTCTAGAATAGTCATGCCTCAGCCTACCCTGGCTAGTACCAGCCTTGCTTTGTAACAAAGACCACCTCCTAGAAGTCTGGTTCTCCCCTGATGTGCAGCCAAAGGCTTCCTGGCTCTGCGTGCTTACATGGTGGGCGGGTGATGATGGTCAGCCCTGCCCAGGGCTGGGAGAGCATTGACGTGCTCTGAAACTGGGGCCTCACTCCATCTCTGGAGGGACACTTGACACTTAAGTGACCAGCTCCAGAATCCACCTCACGGTTCCCTTGCCTACGTCTCACTTTTTCTGTCAGATGATGGCTTTCTCAAGTGCCTTCCTTCCCCCCCCCCCTTTGTCTTTTTCTGTATTTACTTATTTCTCCCATGTGAGTCAGAGAGAGAGTCCAAGAGACAGCACTCCACGGGGTCCCCATGCCATGATCCACTCCTTGCCTCAGCCAGCCTGGATCATGGGCTCAGGGAGGATCACATTTATGGAGATTTCTTGTGTACATCAACATTTTTCAGCATCGTTTAACATTGTACTGATTAGGTAAGCAGTAGGGAATTTCAATAACTTTGTTTAAACGATCATGTGGACAAAGAACCTGTCTGCCATTCCGTGTAGATCTCTAATCGTCCTCAGCTATCCCAGATTTATTGGGGCAGGGGTTAGTCACAGCGTCCTCCTTCCTTTTGTCCAGAAGTCTCAGCTTGCTATCAGCAGTACTCCTCACATGGCGGGTACAGGGGAACCTCCTGACCCAGCACACACACAGACTTGGGGTCCATGGCAGTTCCAGGGGGTCCATGAGTCCCCTCCCCAAAACTAAATATAAAATTTGAAGTGTGGGGACCAGCACTTGATGACAGAGTGGGCAGGGTACAGGCACACCACAGTTTAGGTCAACTTAATGACTGCCCTGAAAAGCCACTTTCTACTACTTATTTTCCTTTAGCTTCTAAAAGTATTCTTAAAAGTACATTTCACTGGGGCCAGCAGATGGCATAGCAGCTACGTAACTGGACTCCCACATGGCTGACCATGGTTCGAATCCCCAACCAGTGGCTTGACACTCACACTGGGTGTATGTGCGTGCATGCCCAAAATCCTAGGAGGGGAATGGAGGAGAAGGGATTGCGGCATGGTCATCTTCCCCACCCCCCCCCCGGTGTGTGTGTGTGTGTGTGTGTGTGTGAGAGAGAGAGAGAGAGAGAGAGAGAGACTTCTGTCTCTCTCTCTGATGAGCACACAAGCCCTAAGGCAAAAACCCACAAATAAAAAAATAAATGAAAGAAATACATTTTGCTGCCAGGAAGTAAAAGGGGATGCGTTGTCAGTAGCTCATCAAATGCTTGTGTGGAGAGGCTCTAGAGAGACCCAGGCTCCTGGTACTCAAATGGGGAGCTCCACAGCAACGGGGGCCCCGCAGCAATGGGAGCCTACCTATCACTCACCCTGACGCCTCCTAGTGGCTCTGACACCAAAAAGCCTTTCCCGTTCCCCTAGCTATTTATTCCTCTAACCTGAAAAAGACAGGCATGAGATTAGATGTCAGCAGCATGAGTGCATTTTTATTGTATTTTTCATCATCGTTTCTAATTCTTGCTCTTTCCCCCCCTCCTAACCCCTCTCCAGGGCAGCTTCTCACAGACTTAACCTGGTGAAGGTATGTATAAAGAGACCCCAAGTGCCCGTTTTGGCAGTCCCCACTGAGCCCGTCCTGGTTATGATCAGATCTTTCCCAGGCCCTAGCTCTTGGGAGGACCCCAGGGGATAGGTCAGGTGGGCTGGGGTGTCCCAAGAGTGGGACACTTCTTATGTTGACCATGGGGGATCGCAACAAATGTGAACATCTCAAGGTCCCAGAACACTTTCGCGAATTCATTACCTTCATTGCTTTTTCTGAGAGTCGGGGAATGGGGCTTGAGAGAGCGCATTGAGTGTGAAGTAGTCCCTCCTTTGAAAAGAAGCGCCTTTTTAGGGGTATAGGATAAAAACACAGAGTGTATGTTTTTTAAAAGGTTTATTTGCTCGCCAAGAGAAACAGAGAGAGATTAAGAGAGAGAGAGAGACAGAGAGAGACAGAGACGGGTGGGGAGCACACCAAGTCTCACACCGTGATCCACTCAGTCTCAGCCAGCCAAGGCACGTGCACGCAGCAGGCATGACAGGGAGGTGTTGGGGTGCAAGACCGGACCTCCTCATGTGGCCTCGGCATCTGGAGTGCTGTGTGGCCGTTGCACTGCTGCGGCTGGCCTGAGGGTCCACTTTAAGGAGTCATATTAACGCATGCTTCAACCCCATGTAAGGTTCTGCAGAGCAGCACGGTAGCACACTTGGCCCTTGCTTGTGGGACAGCCTTCCCAAGCTGCCTTGCACCTCGCGTATCTGCTCAGAACCGGTCGGGCAGCTCCTCCTCCACACTCCCCTGAGTAATCTGCCGCAGGTGCAGGTGCCTGGCTGCTTTTCCCGTGACTGACCATGGCGGCTGGTCTTTCCTCCCACACGCTGTTGCCACCTCACTGTGCTTTCCTGAGGTTGCAGTATGAATGGAGCCCAGACTCCTTAGGGGAACAGAGGTGCCAGCAACTTTTTCCTCTCTCATCTGTGCAGATAGGAAGTTCCTTTCCTGCCCGACCCCCTTCCCTCACCCCTGCCTTCTCAGAGCCCAGACTTGCCCAGTCTTGGTTGGCTGTGTACCGTTGAGCTAGGGCGCATGATGTTTGTTCGTTCTTAGGTTTGCTTTCCAGCCTGCGTGCCATTGTCTGCATTCCCCCGGTGGAATGTGGGGAAACGGATGTCCAGGAAGCATGTGTTTTCCCCTCCCACTCACAGCAGCCTGCACGCCCTCGGCGGTGGCAGGAGACCCCTGTGGTGGTTAGGCAGGGTGGGGAGATGCCATGAGTGGGTGTTATGCCAGGGGCATCCCCAGGTAGGTTGTGGTTGTCACCTGCTGCTGTCATCACTGCCCCAAAGGATCAAGCTTCCTTAGCTCACCTTTTGGAAAGGGTTTTTTATTCATTTGTTTTTAAGGAGTTTTTACCATAGGGTATGTATGTTCACTAGAGAGAGAGAGAGAGATAGAGAGAGGCAGAGACAGAAAGAGAAAGTGAAAATCCCCCCTCACCCCCGAGGAGGGAGAGCCACACTACAGTCCGTTCTCCATTCTCCTCTCAGGATTCTGGGCGTGCACGCACACCAGCCCAGCATGTTTTAAGCTGCCGGGTCAGGACTTGAACCGCAGTTGACTACATGGGAGTCCAATGACGTACCATTATGCCATCTGCTGGTCCTGGTGACTTCTTTTAAAAACGAAATCTTTATTGTGAAATTCTCATTTACTCATCACTAGTGAGTAAACAAATCACGCACTATAGCTATTTTCATTTATCTGTGTTCCCGTCTCTCTCCCCCTCCGCCCGCAATTTGTGTTCCCGTGACTCTACACAAGATTTTATGTTACATTCTTTCACTTCATACTATTTTAGAAATGTTTTTGCATAGTCATCACAATTAACCAGTTTTATATCATACTCCATTAAAATAATGGTTTACTTAACTAGTCCATTGCTGCTGTTTTTCTTTTTTTTTTCTTCCCTGAATTGTCTTTAAATAGTATGGCTACCACAAACTGCAAACATGCTTTTTTCTTCTCCTGCATTTTTTCCGTAGAGATGAATTCTTAGGAGTAGGATTTGTTGCTGTTGTCCCTGTCAAGTGGTCCTTCACCATGTGCCAGAAATGACATGCAAATATTCCCACCTTCCCATAGACTTAGCTGCCACACGTCTGGTTTTTTTTTTTTTGAAGGAATTATAGTTTGAATAGATACTCAGAAGCTTCACTGAGTTCCTCAGAATTAGTTTGATTTATATTTTTTAAAATAATTATTTATTTTATTTGCTATTATTATTTTTTAATTTGATGAAAGAGAGAGAGAGAAAGAGAGAAAAGGAAAGTGAAAAAGCAAGCTGCCAGGTCTGGGACTCAAACTGCAGTCGGCCATGTGGGAGTCCAATGCCTTAACCACCTTGCCACCTGCTGGCCCCAAGTTTGATTTGTATTTAAAAATTCCTGTAGTCTCCCCTACATCTGTATGATAGTAGGGGACCAGAGTCTTTGGGTACGGGCAGACTCAGGAGCAAATCCTTAGTTCTGCCTTCAATCAACTGAGTGACTCTGAACAAGTTACTTAAACTCTTCAAGGCTTAGTTTTTTCATCTGTAAAGTGAGGATAATATCTGCTTTATCATACTATTGTGAGGATTAAGTAAAGTTTTGTTTTGTTTTGTTTTGTTTTTGGAGAGGTTTTCGCTATAGGGTGCGTGCGCTCGCCAGACAGACAGAGCCATAGAGACAGAAAGCGAGAAATCACCCCCCAGGGGGGATGGCCACGCTGCAATCCCTTCTCCTCCATTCTCCTCTCGGGATCTTGGGCATGCACGCACATGCACCTGGCGTGAGTTTTAAGCCACCAGGTTCGGGACACGAACCGCAGTTGACTACGTGGGAGTCCAGCGACATAGCCATTACGCCAACTGCTGGTCCCAGGATTAAGTTTTAAAAGTGCGTGTACTGGTTACCAGCAGTTAGCGTAATGGCTATGTCGCTGGACTCCCACGTAGTCAACTGCGGTTCGTGTCCCGAACCTGGTGGCTTAAAACTCACGCCAGGTGCATGTGCGTGCATGCCCAAGATCCCGAGAGGAGAATGGAGGAGAAGGGATTGCGGCGTGACCACCCCCCTGGGGGGTGATTTCTCGCTTTCTGTCTCTATGTCTCTGTCTGTCTGGCGAGCGCACGCGCCCTATAGTGAAAATCTCTCCCCCCCCCCAAAAAAAGTGCGTGTACTGTGAAATTTTGCCTCTTTTGACTATCAGTAGAATTCATCTCATATAAAATGATATTTCCATATTCTTCCCTCCTTTATTTACTAAGGACTTGCCAGTGATTTTATAGATTCAAATGAACGCTTTATTTTTTAAATTGAAGTTAGCTCTTCATCTATTCATATTTAATATAAATACCTTCCATTTTTTTATTGCCTCTTCTACAACTATGTACTTATTCTCAAGGGAATTCATTCCCCCCCCCCCCAAAGTGTATTTATTTATTTCTTGCACAAGAGAGAAAGGGAGAGAGACAGACAAAGAAACAGCCTCCCCAAAAGGGTTTTGACGTTACGGTCCGACCCCAGCCTCACCCAGCCCTGGGTCAGGCACATGCATGACTTTGACAGAGACCGCTGAGCCCTTCTCTGGCCCCTCAAGGGAATCCTTTAAAAAGACATTTACTAAATCATTAGATATTAGGAGCTTCAAAAATCTCATGAAAAAATGAATTAAAACACAAATGTATGTTGGTGCAACAATTTTTGAAATCCATGCAGTGTTTTTTTAGAGGTTTTTGCTATAGGGCGCGGCGTGCACCAGACAGACAGAGACAGAGCGATAGAAAGTGAGAAATCACTCCCCAGGGGGGATGGTCATACTGCAATCCCTTCTCCATTCTCCTCTCGGGATCTTGGGCATGCACGCACACACGCCCGGCATAAGTTTTAAGTCACTGGGTCCGGGACTTGAACCATGGTCGACTACGTGGGAGTCCAGCTACATAGCCATTACACTAACTGCTGGTCCCCATGAAGTGTTTTTTTCATAATACACATTTTCTACAAACTTTTTGACCCCTTGTATTTCAGTACCTCATCTCATGTAATCTTCCAACAACCCTGAGGGAGACTATGATTATTTTACACTTTGCAGAATAGCACTTTCATGTTTAAATGTTAAATTATTGGCCCAACACTTGGCCAAGGCCACACAGCTGGCAGAGCCAGAGTACGACCCAGGCTGTGCGACTCTGCTTAGTCATGCTGCTTTCCATCCACCTCTTCCCTCCTCCGGTCTGATCACAAGTTCAAAGTCAAACACCAGATTGCAAAAACAAATCTCTTCCCCAGCTATTAAACCATCACCACTAGGGACTAATGAGGTTTAGTCTCCCCCACATCTGGAGATTTTTGAGGAGGAACCTTTTCTGATGAGAATGATAGGAACGCCTTTGTCCCCTAGGTGCTGAGTGATGGTGGCTTTCATGTCTTGTCTGTTGACTACAGAGGTATGTGTTAAGAACAGTGTATGGGGACCAGCAGATGGCATAATGGTTACATCATTGGACTCTCATGTAGTTGAACATGGTTCAAGTCCCGGACTTGGCAGCCTAAAACTCATGCATTATGGTGTGGCCATCCCCCTGGGGGGTGATTTCTCGCTTTCTGTCTCTGTCTCTTTCTGGTGCACACATGAGCCCTATAGCAAAAAATCTCTTTCTTAAAAAAAAAAAAATAACTGTGTATGGGGATTTTTCAATAAATGGGAGGCTCCCAATGACCACTCTCCTGGAAGTAGTGATGCTGTTTGTCTTTCCTTGCTGCCAGGGTTTGGAGACTCTACGGGCAAGCCCACAGAGAAGGGGCTGACTGTGGATGCTATTAGTGTCTACGAGTGGGCCAAGGCAAGAAGTGGCACCACCCCTGTGTGTCTCTGGGGCCACTCTCTGGGTACAGGGTAAGTGAGATCTGAATGTGATTCCTTAATGGGGTCCTTGGGGCTTCAGTGTCATGTCAAAGGCAGCAGCAAGCAGTAGAAGCAGCATGGAGCTAGGAGACAGGGGCTCTTCACTGGTCCCTCACATGCCACAAACGCTGGAGTCCTGGTCATGTCTGCTTGTGAAACAAGAGAGGACCCTTCAGCTCTACTGTTCTCTGTGACTGATGAACATTCCAGAATCCTCCTTGTGGTGTGTAAAGAAAAAGAGCCTTAATGTAGGGAACCCCTTGAATTCCTCTGCAAAACAGTGTGTCTATGTATTTTCTTTCTTTTTCTTCTTTTCAAATAATTAATTGTCAGAGGGTACATGTACGAGAGAGGAGAAAGAGACAGAAAGGAAGAGGGAGAGAAAGAGGGAGAGGGAGAAAGCACACCCACCAATGGAGTGTGGTCATGCCACAATTCCCAGTCCTCTACCTGTTGGGATTTGGGGCATGTAAGCTCCTCTACAATTTGGGGATTTGGGGCAGCTACCATTCAAGCTGCCAGGGCCAGCACTTGAACTGCATGCTTGGCCATGTGGGATCCGGCTCTCTTATCCAGGGCAGATCTGTGTCTATATGCATTTCTAACCAGAGCATTCATCAGATGCTCACGATGGATACTGCATTTTGTACTATATCCTTAACCATTAAGTCTTTGCTTCACGTGCACTAATTTTCATTGTTTTACAGAGTTGCAACAAATGCGGCAAGAGTATTAGAAGACAAAGGTAATATAAAATATTTAAATGGAATAATCTGTTGACTTCTGGTAGAAAAATAAAAACTATCAAGAGATTGTTATGTACTCTTTGAAAACACAGACAGCTATAGCATCCCAACTACAGATATTTTCTGAAACTTAACATTTTTCCCTTCTCTGTTTAATAAAACAATAGTAGCTGCTTTTCAAGGTTAAAAAATTTAATGAAACCAGCAGATGGTGTGATGGTTACGTTGCTGACTCCCATGTAGTTGACCATGGTTCAAGTCTCAGACCTGGTGGCTTAAAGCTCAGGCTGGACACATGTGTGTGTGTGTGCTCCAAATCCCAAGAGAAGAATGGAAGAGGAGGGATTATGACATGGCCGTCTCTGTGGGATGATTTCTCACTTTCTCTCTGTCTCCCTCTGTCACTCTGGTGAGTGCCTGCATCCTATAGCAAAAATCTCTCTAAAAGAATAAAAAAAATTAAAATAAGTACTAAGGAAAGAGTTACCATTGCCTTTCAAAAGACCCCCTCCTTGTGGTGATATTAACTGAAGTTATAGGAGAGGAAAATAATACTTCATAAAATGACAGGCAAGACTTGTTCTGTTCACCCCACCTCCTTTTTAGAGGTTTGTGCCTTAGAGTGCATATGCTTGCTGTAGGACAAGAAAGACAGACAGTGAGAAGGAAAGTGAAAAATCATCCTCTGGGGCGGGGGGGAGGACCATGCCACAATCCTTCCTCCTCCATTCTCCTCCCAGGATCTTGGACACACACGCACAGGCGCCTAATGTGATTTTCAAGCCTCCGGGTCTCAGACTCGAACCATGGTTGGCCATGTGGGAATCTAGCAATGTAACTACTAGGCTTTCTGCTGGTTCCAGCCCCATTTAAAAAAGCATATTTCTTTATTCCATGTGTGAGAGAGACGGAGATAGACACAGACACAGAAACAGCTTCCCCAACAGGGCCTTGATGCTGCAATCCACCCGTAGCCTCAGCCAGCCTTAGATCATGAATACACATGTGTCCGGTATACTAAGGGAGGTCTCTGGATGTATCTCCCACGTGGGCAGCCTCACAGAACATTGCATTTTGTCCCTGCACCAGTAGCCAATGATCAGTTTTCCTGTCTTGTTTTGTTTTATTTTTGCTCTATTTGCATTTCTAGTTATTTTTGATTCAGTACTAGACATTATTTATGAAAACATGCTAATGATTTGAGGCTTGGGTTGCTGTTATCTTCTTCAAGAAATAAATGACTTTCATCTTGAAAAGCACTTATGGTAAGGAATGATCGTCTCAATCCAGTCAGATATTGAGCTGATCTGAATCTGGGCTTCAGTGTTTAGAAGCGCAGGTCTATTTCCAGTTCACTATTACTCCTTAAGTGTAGCCCTCATTAAGGTCACAAACGGAAGCCTGAGAAATGTACTAGGGTTTCCGTCTTCTCAGATCGTGAACTCTAAATTTCGTCATTTTGAGTCTGTGAGCACGTTGAGAATTATGTCTGTTTCTAATTCCCTCAGCCACCACAATGGCTTTCAGAGTTTCAACAGCTGTGAGGAGAGAGAGCTCAAACTCTCTGGGCTTTCCTCTTTTGGTATTAGCTCTTCAAATTTTCACTGATCAGTAGCCCTTATATTCCTTCAAACATATGCACACACACACACACACACACACACACACACACCCTCCTTCCACACACATTTTTTTTTTTAGAGAGATTTTTGCTATAGGGCACATGCACTCACTGGAGAGACAGAGAGACAGAGAGACAGAAAGCAAGAAATCACCCCCTCCCCGGGGGGATGGCCATGCCACAATCCCTTCTCCTCTGTTCTACTCTCCAGATTTGGACATGCACACACACGTGCCTGATGTGAGTTTCAAGCAAGCCTCCAGGTCCAGGACTGAAACTGTGGTTGACCAAATGGAAGTCCAGTGACATAACTGTTACATGATCTGCCAGTCCCACACATATTTTCTAGTTGTTCTCAGAAGCAGTGTTGACCAGAAGAATCTAGTCAGCCTCTGCACATTTTTTTTTTTTTTAAAGAGAAGTTTTTGCTATAGGGCGTGTGCACTCACCAGAAAGACAAGAGAGCGACACAGAGACAGAAAGCGAGGAATCACTCCCAGGGGGGATGGCCACACCACAATCCCATCTCCTCCATTCTCCTCTCAGGATCTCGGGTATGCATGCATGCACACGTGCCTGGCATGAGTTTAAGCCACTGGGTCCGGGACTGAAACTACGGTCGACTACATGGGAGTCCAGCGACGTAGCCATTACGCCATGTGCTGGTCCCAGCCTCTGCACATTTTAAACAATGGACTGCAGAACATATTCCGGTAGTACTTTGCTTTCTTAAATTACTCAAGCCTTGACAGTCTGGCTGCATTTAGGAAGTAGTGGTTTTCAGCTATGTGCATAGAAGTCACTTGGTAGGAAGGAATATGTTAAAAACATGCATTATTAGCCATCACCTCAGAGATTCTAATTCATACATATGGTGTGGGTCTAAGAGTTTTATTTATTAATAAGCTTCACAAATGATTTTGTTGCAGGCAATTTATGTATAAGACCTTGAGTACCACTTACTTAGGGAAGGGGGAATAAGGGAGTTACTGATTTCTTTTTTCAAATTTTATTTTATTATTTTTAAGGATGTCCAGTTGATGCTATTGTCTTGGAAGCTCCATTTACCAACATGTGGGAGGCAACTATTAATTATCCCATGTTAAAGGTGAGTCTCTGATTCATCTTCACAAGATATCAAAGTGTAGGCTACTTCTATACATGTTTATTAACTTTATCTTATTAACTAGTTTTGTTGTTGTTGTTTTGAGAGATTTTTGCTATATACATGTGCTCACTGGAGAGGCAGAGAGACAAAAAGCAAGAAATCATCCCTCTCCCCAGGGGGGATGGCCACATTGCAGTCCCTTCTTCACCATTCTCCTCTCAGGATTTTGGGCATGCACTCACTCACACATGCCTGCTGTGAGTTTAAACTGCCAGATCTAGGGCTCGAACTGCAGTCAACTACCTGGGAGTCCAGCAATATAACCATTATGCCATCTGCTGGTTCAACTGGTTTTATATGTTCCTAATTTATTTTACTTTTATGTTTTTGCCATGGGGTGCATGTGCTCTCTGGAGAGAAACAGGCAGCAGGAAAGTGAGAAATCACCCCTCGGGGTGACGGGAGAATGGCCATGCTGCATCCCCTTCTCCTGGGATATTAGGCACGCATGTGCACATGTTCGACATGATTTTCAAGTTGCCAGTCCAGGATTTCAACCACAGTTGGCCATGTGGAGTCTGGCACCTTCACCGTGCCACTTGCTAGCCCCTGTTCTTAAGTTATTTTAACTGGAGATAGTTTATGAACCAGTTAACCATGAAAAGTAATACAGCGGCTTTTGAATTTGGTGGTTCTTTTAGTTTCTTTTAACAGAGTGAATGGCCCAAGAGTAAAAGTTTTTACTGTCTCTATTAATTGTACCTCGTATCTTTTATAATTTTTAGTAGATAGGCTTGTTTTGGGTTTATGTATTATTTTTGTTTACAAGTGAAAATCAACTTTTCACACATCATTTTTAGCCTCATGAATGTTCACTGTATATCTCTCATAATTTTATCATTAGAAAGTTTCTAGAAAACTCAAGAAATGCTTCTACACAGTATCCCATATAAAAACAATCTTTGTAAGAAAATAAAGTATAAAGAATTAGGCCATAAGATATGGTTTTAAAAATCTGTTGTGGGTGGGAACCAAGCAGTTAGCGTAATGGCTATGTCGCTGGACTCCCACGTAGTCAACCGCGGTTCATGTCCCGGACCTGGTGGCTTAAAACTCACGCCGGGTGCGTGTGCGTGCATGCCCAAGATCCCGAGAGGAGAATGGAGGAGAAGGGATTGAGGCGTGACCATCCCCCCTGGGGAGGTGATATGTCGCTTTCTGTCTCTATGTCTCTCTCTGTCTGGCAAGCACACACACCCTATAGCAAAAAAAAAAAAAAAAAAACCTCTCCAAAAAAAAAAAAAAATCTGTTGCATAGGTACCAGCAAGTGACATGGAGGGTTAAGGTACTGGACTCCTGTATAGCTGACTATGGTTCAAGTCCTGAACCTGAAGGCTTGAAAATCACCCAGGTCATGTGTGTGTGTGCATGCCTAAAATCTTGAGAGGGTAATGGAGGAGAAGGGATTGTGGTAGGGTTATCCCCCTGGGGGGTGATTTCTCATTTTCCCCTTGTCTCTCTGTCTCTCACCAGTGAGCACATGCACCTTATGGCAAAAACCTAAGAGAAAGAAAGAAAGAAAAAGAGAGAAAGAAAAAGAAAATTATGCTGGACACACATGTGGCATGCCCAAAATCCTGAGAGGAGAAGGGATTGTGGTATGGTCATACCCTCTGGAGAGTGAGTTCTCACTTTCTCTGTCTCTCTCTCCGGGGCATACAAGCAACCTATAGCAAAAACTAAAAACAGAACAAACAAAACAAAAACAGTTGTGTAGGTTAGCCTACTTTTATTCAATTGCTTGTAATCACACATCCATGTAAATACGAGAATGAGAGAGAGGGAGAAGTCTTAGAGGGAAACATGGCCCCACTTTTTCAGTTGCCATTCTACACTGGAAGGCACTTTAGGAGTATTTTAACTTAATGGTCTCCTTCTAGAATCATTTGTAAAACAGACTATCATAGAGCTTTCTCAAATTTGCTTAACTGTTTTCAGGAAAAAGTAGCTCACCAACCACCTCCTGGGACAGCCATTTCACAGAATTGCACAATCTTGAAAATGCCTTTATACGATCTAAAGTTCACTTTAATACAGGAATCCCCTGTGTGACCTAAAATGCTGAATGTTGAATAATCTGAGGTTTAATAAATATAATAGTTCCAATTGATTCTATACAGTTGAATACTCATTGTAATATAACCATTAATTAGGCATCTATTATACTACTCTAATTACTAATAAATTCATCAAATTGTAGGAATGTAGCAGAACTTAAGACACAGTATTTTCATATGTTTTTAAAATTTTTAATTTGGCAAAGTAGGAAAAATACATAATTTAATGGGTTATTCTAAACTAAGCACCCATGTAACTCCCACTTGAGTCAAGAAATTAGCATCTGAGGGGTCTTTTATATCTTATTTCACAGTCCAATAAGCCTCATGGTAGATGAAATCCTTAGATGAATCTTATGCTAATCATATCCATGCATTTCTTTTAAAAATTTAATTTATTTATTAAAACATCTATTTATTTATCTACTTATTTGTTGTGATTTGGGGGCCTCCAGATCCAGGACTTGAACCACGGTCAGCCATGTGGAAGTCTAGCGCAACCACCATGGGACCTGGCCAGCTTTGACCATGAATTTCTTTATAGTGTTATCACTCACATGCACATTTTTCAGCCATAGAGTTTTGTTTTTGAACTTTACATATAAGTAGAATTACACAGGGTGTATTTTCTGTCCCCCCCTCAACATTATATTAATACTTGTGGAATTTTACTCATGTATAGCTGAAGTTTGGTCATTTTTATTGCTATATCATATTCTATTGTGTGAGGATCTAGACCCTCAAAACTCACTGCCCTGAGATGTTTCTGACACCGTTGAGAGAGTCCTCCCCCGTTGTCTAGTTTTATAGTTATCTTTGGCAAAGGTTTAGCCCCTGATGATTTCTCTTACGGAAAATATCCTGATTTTCTTAAGTCTGGAATTTAATTTAAAATGTTATAAACTTCAAGAGACACTCTAAGGTCCGCAAGGACCATCTGCACAGACTCTTAGCATCATGGCTCTGCCATCTGACCTCGCAGGTTTTATTTCTAGGGCTGTCTCTAACAGCTTGGTAACCTTGGGCTACTTGTTTTGAATGCTTTACCTGCCTCCACTGTAAACTGTAATGAAAGAAATTAACATGCTAGGGGAGGACCCAGAACAATCAATTCAGGGTAGGGAGAATTGAGGGAAGACAGCGGTCTGCGGTCTGTGGTGCAGGTGTGGTCAATGAAGGCTTTTCAGAGAGAGGGGATCTTAGCTCATTTCTTGCAGATGAAGGAGAGCAGTTAGGAAACAGAGGAGGTGAGAAATGGGAGCTGACACTGTGGCAGGAATGGGGCAATTATATGTTATAAGATACCTAAGCGTCAACATGGGGCTTCCACAGAAGGTCTTCCACATTCTTGATCCTTTTTAAATCCTCACAGCAATTCTGTGAGCTTGGCATCTTTGCCTCCACTTAGCAAAGAGGGAAAGGGAAGCTTGCCTAATTGTCTCACCCTTACAATGCAGACTCAGTCCTGCCGCTCCTACCTCCAGGCTGACAGACCAGACGTGAGCAGCCTTTGGAATGAAAGGCCGTGGGCAGAGGTGGATGGGCTTGAGTTCAAGCTATGAGTCGTTTGTAGTAGAGAGTGTGGCATTCCCAAAGCGTGGCAACAGCAGTTTTCATGTAACAAATATTTTAAGAATATTTATCAGCTGGTATTCCAGAGGAGTAAAGAAGGGAGGAAGACAATCGGGAGGCTATTGTCACGGTCAGGGCTGGAGGGAATGGCGTGACCTCTGAGTCTCAAAGGGTTTCCCTGCCTAGTCAGGAGTGAGGATTAATGGGAGCAGATTGACTTCAGTCTGTTTTCTTCTTGCTCCTTCAGAATTTGAGATGAATTGCTGAAGGGCTTCTCTTACTGACTTTTCCTCAGAGGAGTTCTAATGTCCATGGGATGGAGGAATCAGAAGACAAAGAAAAGAGAAAACAAAATAAAAAGTCTTGTCCTTATTATGGGAGAGGAGGGAGGAGAAAGAATAGGCAGTGTTAGGCTCTCCAGACCACACCTGAATGCAAATCACCTGCTACGAGACCACAAGAAAAGTGTAGACCAGACAAAACCCATGACACCAGGGAAACAGCAAGCCTAAACCAAAATGCTGAAGCCGGAGTCTGTACTTATTGGCATTTGCCTACCTATTCTGTACCCACTTCCTTACTAAATTCCCTATAATGACATGAACTGCTTTTTAAAATCTTGTTAAAAAAATAAAAGCCTTTAAAAATGCTTTTAGGGGCCAGCAGGTGGCATGGCGGTTAAGATGCTGAACTCCCACAAGGCTGACTACAGCTAAGTCTCGGAGGTGGCGGCTTGCTTTCTCACTTTCTCTCTCTCTTTCTCGTCTCTTTCTGGTCAAAAAGAAAATAACAACAATGAGTAAAACTAATTAAAAATTATTTTAAATATTCATTATATCTCTATCTATCTATATGTGTGTGTGTGTGTATGTGTATATATATATATAATTTATTGTGATTTTCAAGCCGCTGTGTTCAGAACTCAAACCTCAGTTGACCACGTGGGAATACAGTGCCCTAACCACCATGCCACCTGCTGGCCCAAAGAGTCATTATATTTAAGTCGTCAGTGTACTCTGTATTACTACAGCTCATAGTGCGAGACCATAATCAATGACATTATAGCTTTAGGACAAGTTTTAATTATTGCTTTTTCTTTTTAAAAATGATGGACAAGGTTGCATTTATTGACCCCATCCTACTTGTTCTGGGCCTACTGCCTTCCCTTGGTGAGGTCTCATTTACTATATTCTCACCCCCTCTTCAGGTACATCAGGGGGTACATGTAATACTTTACTGGTCTTTCTGCTTTGGAAATGTATGTTTAAATAGTTATTAATTTAATATTATTTATTACTGTTATTATTTTAAAATTTTCTAGGGCATGTGTGCTCACGAGAGAGAGAAAGAGAGAGAGAGAAAAAGTGAGAAAGTAAGCCACCAGGTCTGATACTTGAACTGCAGTCAGCCATGTGAGAGTCCAGCACTCTAACCACCATGCCACCTCCTGGCCCCTGCAAATGTATTTTAAGGAATAAAAATTAGAATTCAGTCACACTAAGATGAGAGTGACAGAGAATACTGTAGTGTACACCAGGAATATTTCATCTTTAGCAAATATTTGTCAAGTGTCTATTATGGACCAGAAACTTTTCTCGGTTCTCGGGATACCACAGGGAAATAGAACACTGTCGTCTCTCCTCCTGTGACACTTATTTACTTGCTGGAGAAGCAGAAGACAAGGACACAGTACAAACATGTCCAATGGCACCAAGTGCTGTGAAAGCAATAAAATAATGTGATGGCTAATGACTGAGTGGTGGGGAAAATCGAATGTCTGAGAGCTGGTTGGGGAAAATCACTCTGAAGAAATATCAGGGGTCTTCGTGGAAAGAGTATTATGAAAAAACTGCATGACTTTCAAAGGCTTTTTTGGTACCAAAATAACTGCATACTTTCATTTCATTTTTCACTTTTTATTTGGTTTGTTTTTTTGCTAGTGGGCCATGTGTGCTTGCCAGTGGTAGACAGAGAACCAAAGAGAGAGAGACAGGAGAAGGCACTGCCATGGGGCATGATCACACTGTAATCCTTTCTCTCCATTCTCACTCCCATTGGGATGTTGGGCACACGTGCACATGCACCTGGAGTTTCTGAAGCCTCCTGGTCCAGGACTTGAACCACATAGCTGGCCATGTGGGATCTAGAGGCCTCCATCACCAGCTCATGCAGCTGGCCCTCCGTGAACTTTTTGAAGTCTCCTTGAGTTCATATGAGCTGAGAATAGCATCAGGAGCCAGCTGCCACGGAAAAGTCTGGAGGTCTCAGGCTGAGAGAAAAGCAAAGGCGAGGGCCAGGTGGTGGAATCCAGGTGCACGTGCTGGCAGTGGAAGGCAGCAGACTCCGACGGGCCAGGAAGGGGCTCAGTATAAGAACTCATTTGAGTTCAGAGATGGGGGGGCTGCCTCCAGATTCTGTAGGGTCTCAAAGGACACAGTGACCTGTCTGGGTGTAATCCAGATGCCTTGGAAGCAAAACATTAACGATCTGACTTGCACACCGAATGACAGAAGGAGAAAGGCATATGCAGGGAGCCGTTTGGGATTGTTGGCATAAGCTAAGCAAGAGATGAAGGGCGGCTTAGGCTGGGTAGTCGTGCCAGGGAGAGGAATGAATGGACTTGTTCAGCAGTCTGGACATAGAGTTCTAAGTTAGTGAAGAAGGTGCAATATTGCTCAGGGTTTCTGTCCTTTACTTCTCATTTTCAGTCGAAATGGATTTTTTAGGGCATATAAACTGATCTTGATTTAACTTAACCAAAATGTGGATTTAGCTAGCAAATTGAATAATTTGCCAGAATTTTCAAGCCACCGGGTCCGGGACGCGAACCACGGTCGACTACGTGGGAGTCCAGCGACATAGCCATTACGCTAACTGCTGGTTCCCAGAAGTTTTCATTAAAGAAGAAATTCGTGGTATTTTGAATAGTAATGATTATATTTGGAATCTTGTGGTTATTGTTAAAATCTAAAATGTCTTTTAAGGCATTATAATATTAAATCATAAGTCAACAGTTTATAATATTCAAATCCTCTAAAATAAATGATCTATGTTTTGCACACTTTCCCCGGAAATTAGACTATTCTGGCCTTCAACTGAACTAGTTAATTATGCTCATAGTAGAAGCACATTTTAGACTTTGCACCTCATGCTCCTTTATGATTCTGGAGAAATAAAGAGTTAGTGGTATCATTTGTATTTTTTAAAAAGATGGGAGGGCCACGTGGTGGCACAGTAGTAGCACAACTAGACTCACAAGACAAGGGTCCTGGGTTTGCATCCCAGGACCATCCTGAGCACCCTCCTGGTGTGCACACATGCATGCTCATAAGACCCAGGCTGGCTGGCACTGGGAGTGGGTCACAGCCTTGGACACCATGTGGGGGTACCTGTCTCTGTCTCTGTCTCTTATGGGAGAAATTTAGAAGGAAGACAGGAAGTAGAAACAAAATGTTAACAGCAATTATCTAGGATAGCAAGATTACATGTGACTTGTTTCTTGTTTGTTCCTTTTTTTTTTTCAAATTTCTACTCATGATATAAATTACATTTTAAAATCATGAGAGTTTTTAAAATTTTTTAAAATTATTATTTTATTTTACTTTATTTATTTATTTTAATTTGACCAGAGAAAGAGAGAGAGAGAGAGAGAGAGAGAGAGAGAGAGAGAGAGAGAGAGAGAGAGAGAGAGAGAGAGAGAGAGAGAGAGAGAGAGAGAGAGAAAGAGAAAGAGAGAATGAAGCCACTAGGTCTGGGACTCGAACTGCAGTTGGCCATGTGGGAGTGCAGTGCCCTTAACCACCACACCACCTGCTGGTCCTGAAAGTTTTCTTTTTTAAGTTTCTTATATTTAGAAGCTCACTGCTCTGTTTCTGTGGTTCATAATGTGCAACTGTAACAAGTGGCATAACTATGGAATATTCTTTTTTATTTTTTAAAAATAGATTTACCGGAATCTCCCAGGATTTCTACGCATGCTAATGGACACCATGAAAAAAGACAAAATAGTCTTTCCCAATGATGAAAAGTAAGTTAATGATGAAAAGATGCCCATTACTTCTATATCTACAGGATCCCAGGGATAACGTGTGATTGCTGGAAGATGAGATGTCTGGATACTGTTCTTATTCTTAGGATATTTTTCTATCATCTTGTAGGTGGGCACTAGGATTTGGGGTAAAGTATCTATACATTTTTAGTATTTGCTACTTTGCTCATTTCACCAATTCCATATTCTTTCTGCATTCATAAAGGAAGTTATATATTTATGGCCTACCAGGACCTTTTAAAATTCCTGTTAGGGCCCAGGCCAACATTCCTCGGAAGATCCCTGACTTCTAGATCTATTTCCTGTGTAACCAAAACCCATCTACCATCCAGCCTACTAACCTAGGAGCAAATCCAGGGAGTAGAATTTGGCAGGTTAGCCTCTCACAGTTGGGGAATTCATGAATGTTTCCAAATACAGTCACCAATATGTTTTCTATTTGAACACACTTGAGAGAGAGCATTCTCAGGGGTAATAGAGTCACTGTAGCAGGAAAAAAGTATTAGAATTTGGAGGGGTCAGAGGATTTTTTTTTTTTTTAAGAGAGATTTTTGCTATAAGGCACATGCGCTCGCTGGAGAGAGACAGAGAGACAGAAAGTGAGAAATCAACCCCCATGGCGGGTGGCCAGGCTGTAATCCCTTCCAGAGGAGTATTTTTGAGAAAGTCAGTTGGAGTCAGGGTAAGTCATCCTTCATGCCATGTGGATAACCTTTTTTGAATGACCAAGAAGCTAAGCTAATCTGTTAATTACAAGTGCATCCTGTACATATATGGGAAAAAAAATAAATTCATACAAATAACTCATTTTGGTTCTGCAGTAGTTTTTGTTATTTTTGGGTTTTGAGCTATATTGTTTTCTTTAAAAGCCTTTTAATTAAAAAAGTTCAGATATTATGAAATAAGGAAAAATATAAGGTTCTTCTAACACTGTAAAAATTCACTGTTTTTCTTCTTCAGAATTTCCAAAAATCAGATTAAAGTAAATTAAATACTAGGTTAAATTGTATGAATAAATGGAAAAGGGCAACTGTCCTGGAGAAAAAAATTACTATATGAAGTTTTTAATATATTATTATTCTTTGGAAGGGAGGACGGTGATTTCTTGTATTTGGGGCAGATTTTGTGTTTTGCTAAAGCTTTAACTTAGAAGATGAATAATCTCAATATGATTTTTAAAAACATTTGTTTATCTATTTATTTGTTGTGATTTTCAAGCCTCCAGGTCTAAGACTTGAACTATAGTCAGTCATGTGGGAATATAGCACCTCAACTACCACGCCACCTACTGGCCCTCAGTATAATTCTTGAACTGAATGGTTTTCTTCTGCTTGTCTCTAGTGTTAAATTCCTGTCTTCTCCCCTTCTCATCCTACATGGAGAGGACGACAGGACAGTGTCTTTGGAGTATGGAAAAAAGGTAAACCCAAAGCTAAGGGCTGACTAAAACTTACTCTATTTATTTCACCATTATGTTTTCCATTTGGCCTAACTTTGATTAGAGCCTCAAGAAGGGTCTCTGACAGTAGAGGCGATTCTCTTCACCCCCAGTGGCCATGTTGTTGGCTTATACAGTGAGCATCAGTGTCCTTGGCTACTTAACTCAAAGGCATGTTTGTGGTGGAAGCTGGTTCCTCATCTGCAGTCTGTGGCTCTCCAGGTAGAGAGAAGATCCCAGGCTGCTATGGGTACTTCCATGTGGTCTCTACCATAGTGGCTCTAAAAATGGGAATGCAGTTTCTTTTCTCCAAAAGAAATGTTTGAGCCCATAGCCATTCATTGTCCCCTTGCAGCAAGATACCAGCAGGGGAAGGAGAAGGTTTTTCTCAGTATTCTGTATTGGCTGCACAGTATTCAGTACCTTAGCTATTGAGGCAGCCCACTGGGGATGTGGAGAGTCCCTACATCTCTGACTTAATGGGACACATTTATCCCAAGTTGGCTGTTTCTATAATCTGGGAAGATTGGATTAGAAAGCTCATAGCTTTGAATGGTCAGCCCTTGAGTCTTTTTGTCTGTTGCAGGTCTATGAAATTGCACACAATGCATACAGGAACAAAGAGAGGGTCAAGATGGTTATTTTTCCTCCTGGCTTCCGACACAACCTCCTGTGTAAAAGCCCTGCACTACTGGTAACCGTGAGGTAAGAGCTGCTTTGCTGAATGTGATTATCTTCCCCTCCAAGGCCATTGGGGCTGCTCTAGTTCACTTTTAACCACGAGGTGGGAAATGTGTGGGAGCTGATCTAGGTCCTTTTTCTGCAGAGAATTCCTGAGCAAACAGTGGGCATGAAGTCTGAGAGCAGTGGAAATCTCCAGTGAAGACTTGGTCTAAACACCACCATCATGTGTACTTTTTTTAAGATGTAAAATTGTACGGGGCTGCTTGGGTGAGCAGAAGCCGTTGGCATTTCTGTAAGTCACTTGCCACTTTAATAAAGAAAACATGGATGCTGGGCAGTATGGAATGTTCTCATGTAGCTCTTCATAATCCAGCTTTGTGAAACATGATGAAATTTCATTGTAGAGAATCAGAATTTGGTAAAATTTTTATCCTACCTAAAAATGTGTAGTTGTCAAACATCCTGGGGATATTTGTCAATTAGGTGGTTGCTATAGTCTGAAAGTCTGTGTCTACCTGCAAAATTCCTGTGTTGAAATCTAATTGTGAAGTGATAGTAGTAGGAGGTGGGGCCTTCTGGGAGGCAATTAGGTCACAAGGGCTGAGTTTTCATGGGATATGTGTCTTATAAAATAGGCCTGAAGGACCGCTTTACCCCTTCCACGATGAGGACAAATGAGTCAAAAGTGGCCTTCACCAGACACTGACTCTGCAGCACCTTGATGTTAGCCTTCTCAGCCTCAAGAACTGTAAGAAATAATTTTCTGTTGTTTATAAGCTCCCCAGTTTACGGCATTTTGTTTTAGCAACATGAATGGACTAAGACATTGGTCTTCAGGTCCTCTAACGCTGCTAAATAGTTTGCATTTTAATATTTTAATCTATGAATAGTTCATTTAAATGGCATTAAACAGTTTTGGTGAGTTACAGCATCTGCTAAAATAATAAGTTTTGGCACTCATGTAGCCCTTGCTTATTGACACTTTATTTGAAGCCTTAATACAGTCACATACCTTCCTTCCCCAGTCCCAGAGATACTGAACAAGATTAGCTAACAAAACAAAACCAAATCAATGAATGTTATAAAAATATTCCAGTTCAGTAAGAAGCTTTTTTTTTTCTAGAGACATTGTACAATCAATTCCCATTGACTTTGTTCATCTCGTTGCTGGATTCATTGGATAGAGAAATCTTCATATCCGAAGGTTCCATGTTCCAGATGTCTCTGGCATATTCCTTAATTGTTCGGTCACTGGAGAATTTCCCAGAGGCAGCTATGTTTTTGAGTACCATCGTGTTCCAGGCTTTTGGATTCTATAAAGAACATATGCATACACGGCCCAAGGCCTGAGTACCCAGCGAGCTTTATGACTAAATATCAGGCCAAGCACATTTGAGGACATTTCACGGGGAAGAACTCAGGAAAAACTGGGGTGAACTGTAAATACACTCGTTCCTTTGCTGAGACACAGGTGGGACAGACTGTACTCTTCTCATATTTAAAATATATTTTTCTTGGGAATAAAAATAAAACTTTTTAACTTTCAGAGAGAGCATGGATGTAAATTTCCTGACTAGTAATTCTTGCAATGGTTAGTGTTTTGGCATAGACGCCATATTTTTCATGTTTTCTTGTGAATAAAGATACCTCCTTTTAAACTATCGGGAAGGAAGAGACTAACATTCGGTGTCTGCTAAGATGCCATGTCAAGATATGAAACCTGTGACTCACAAAGTCGGAAAAGCAGTACAAACAATCCCATGGGAGGCTTTATTGACCTACTTAGCATCTATTTTTCTCTCTGAAGAAACATGCCCCAGGTGGTTTATACTGAATGCTAAAGAGTCCATTAGGGTTTCCAAACAGGGTCAATTAAGGCTTTATCCTTAATAAAAAGTATTACGTCAAAAATTTCATACTTTTTATATGAAAAATACAGTAAGAAGCTATTTATTTAATTGCCTTATAATTTTGTAAAGAATTCTACAAGTTTACTGTAAATGACCAGGACATTATTCAAAGCCATTGGCAATACATTATAATCATTTAAAAGAAAGAACTAAAACTGTCTAAATTTCTTTTTTAAGTTATTAATTTTTTTTTTTTTTTTTTTTTTTGCCACAGGTCATGTGTAGTTTCTGTAGAGACAGAGACAGTGAGAGGGAAAGTGAGAAATCACCCCCAAGCAGGATGGCCACACTGTAATCCCTTCTTCTCCATTCTCCTCCTGGGATTTTGGGCACACATGCACACATGCCTAGTGTGATTTTCAAGTCATGGGGTCTGGACCTTGAACTGCAGTTGGCCATGTAGATAGGACTCCAGCATCCTAACCACTACGCCACCTGCTGGCCCCACTACCATTATTTCTTAAGCAGTGCAACACAGAGTCTGCAATTAGTTTATTCAGACTTTGGAAACGTACTATAATAAGAAGAGAATAAGAGCTTCCTCTCTTCATTTCCGTTAACTGTCTACATAGTTAAAGAATAGGCTTCTCAGCCATGTGGGTCATGTTTACTAAACCTCAACAATACAATTATTATTCAGAGTAAAAACACTGCAATTTGTACTAATGAACAGGGAAGACTGAATCAAATTCTGGGCTCCTAGACAGGCATCCTTTGGATCTGGGCCATAATTTTAAGAGAAGACCCATTGTGTAAAACTAATATTCACATTTGTCTTTGCTCTTGTTGATACTTTCCTTTTCTATTCTGTTTTAATTATATTTCTTGAAGTAACCATTCTCTCTCCTCTGTCTTTGAGTACTTGGACCCTGTATGTGGCAGCTGTCTCCACAGTTTAGGAAGTGGGTGGTGATAGCCATTTGGCCTAGTTGTAGCCCTACCCTGCTTACTCACAGCCATTAGCTTGAACTTATGCTGTTGGGGGATTGGATATGACTTTACCAGAAGACGAGGTCTGTAAACCAGCATGGGCCTTGAATGATCCTATCTAAAACCACAACAGGACATCAGGGATGAATGTAGGAACTACCTCATCACCTGCCTTGGGAAATGAATAGCAAGAAATATTATTTAAGCCCACCTGGAGTTTTGGCCCAGAGCTGCCTCCTTCTGTTATCTATCCCTCTGGGGTCCCTACAATTCACTGTCTCTCCTAGAAGAGATGATCAACCTTTCCACACTTTACAAATTACACTTGGAGAGCTACCTGGTGTGGATGTTTAACTGCATGTGAAGGCTTATTCACATGGCTCAGCAAAGTCGTCCCTTTTTGGGGGTGTACAGTATAGTCTTCCTTGTTTTCACTCTCTCTCTTAAAATTCAAACATGAAACCTCTTCCCTTCCTATACATTAACAGTGTATTTATATAGGCCCACTCCATGAATAGCTCAGGAGAGGTACTTACTTTGCAATTTTCAGAGACTAGGGGATTCAATCCCTACCCCAGTAAACTAAGGCTCAGCCTTTGGATCGTCACGGCGGGTTTTCAAATACTCAAGGTGATCCCACCCACTACTGGATCAGCATCTCTCAAGGGGGGCTGGCCCCTGTCCTTTGAGAAGACTGTGTTGTGGATTCTGATGTACAGTTCTGATTGTGAACCCCCACGTTAAACAGGCTCTGTGACGGAAGAGCAGGGAGAGAGAACCTAGATTTTATTCATGCTGTGCCCTCAGTGCTCGCACAGTGTTTGGCACGAAGAAGACCCCCAACGTTTCATAGAGGTTCTATATCCTTAGCTTCTAGAATATGCCTGCTACATGGTAAGTGTTCAATAAATATTAAAGTGTTTGATTTTTTAAAAACCTGGTTATTAAAACATTTACAACTTTTACTAAAATGTCAAAATTCAACCTCTGCTTGAACTTGGGAGAAGTCAAGTGTTGATCTGAACAGTCTGAGCAGCTGCCGCCTTTCTTTTTTTTTTTATTGGTTCATGGAACCCTGTTAATAAAATTAATAAAAAGAAACAACAACTTTAATTAACTGTAGTAAATTGGTTTCCTTGGCAATTTACTCACCATGTACAGCTGACTGACTTTCTCTTGACACTTGATGTAGGCTTCATAGTCTGCAAAGACTTTAAACCTAGTGTGTGTGTGTGTGTGTGTGTGTGTGTGTGTGTGTGTATGTATGTGTTTGTGATCAGAAGGAAGAAAAAAAAGACAAAACAAAGTTTCATTAGGAGATGCATGCTGAGATCTCATTTAAAATTCTCTTTTGTTTCATGTCAGACATACCTGGTATACATACCAGTCTACATTTCTGCTCACAAGAATTTTAACCAGCCCTCATTCATTTTATAGTTTATGCTACCATTAGGAGATGCATGCTGAGATCTCATTTAAAATTCTCTTTTGTTTCATGTCAGACATACCTGGTATACCAGTCTACATTTCTGCTCACAAGAAATTTAACCAGCCCTTATTCATTTTATAGTTTATTCTACATGTAAGGATGTCATCGTAGGGATGTATTCGAAAGCTCGGTATCTCAGTGGGAAGAGCAAAAGAACACCAGGTTTGTGGGTGTTATTCTTAAACCTTGCTGCATCATTGATGAAGAATATCTAACTTGCTTTTTCTAAGCCTAGGTAGCTGATCAGACTGTAGATCTATGCTAACCAACACAAGCAGGCTATAGTCAAAGGTGTTTGCATTTTCTTTTCATGGCCCAGATGCCACTAGCATTTGGCGGATACTCACCTGTCATGGTAAAATAGCATGTTGATGACGTCTTTGAAGAGATCAGGCTGCTTTGGAGAAAAAAAACCATTGTCAATTTGATCAATGACCAGCTTTAGTTCTGGAAGTGCCTCATAATATTCTTTTGCCTTGTACCTGTGGGGTAGGGGTGGTGATAAGAAAAGGTTCAGTCAGTATGTAAGATGAACAACCCACCAGACATTGCATTAGCTGTGAAAAATGCATTCAGAAATACTAGCATTTATAGAAGTCATCATAGATTTTGACATGGGTATTAATAATATTTGACTAAGCCCTAAAATACTCCCCCACCCCAAATATGATTAATTTGTAACCAAAGATACCAAGATTTGTGAAGAATGAAAATGCTAGTCACTGAACAATGGTCTAATGCAGATCTATAGCAACATCCATTCCAGAGCCTACTTTACTGCTCTAAGCTCTGTGTCAAGTGGACCAGTTGGCTTTTTAGTATCCACAGATTTGCTGCTACTGAGTAAAATTTGCTTCCAAGGACCAGGAGGTATATTTGGCACCCTCCAGGTTTTGTGGTTCCTCATAGATCCTTCAGGCAGTACTCTTCATTTCTTGCTTAAACTCAGGTTAGTAAACCTCTCTGTATGTTAAGTGAAAACAAATGTTCCTGAATGCTCCTGTGCGGCCACATTTATTCTCTCTTACATTTTATTCCACCTCTTTGAGAACTTAAAAAGCATTAGATAATGTCCAACTAGAAACTGATTCATTTTATGATCGAAGTAAAAATCACAGATGAAAA